GGATGAAAAGTTAAGGCGCTCGGCTCCAGCACGCGGCGCGCGTGCGGGCGCGGACGGCGCGCGTGCGTGGACAGCGCCGCCGACGCGCGCGTGATGGCGCGTGCAGGCGCGTCAGCAGGGCATCCGGCGCGTGGTGGCGCGTGGCTGCGCGTGGTGGCGCGTGGCACCGCTGGGAGGCGTCATACAGCGCGTGTATCACACGCGCCGCCTTTCCGGGTGTTTTCTGGTCCGATTTTTATACTGCCGGACTCCTTTTTTCAAAATAAAATCGTTTTTGGTCTTAAAAACGACATTAATGAACATAAAAAAAATATTTATGCTCTTAATCTAATCAAAGTAGATTTTTTTTTCTTTTACAAACATTCATGTATATTTTGTAAACATACACATGTAAAAATAAACAAAAAATTAATTTATAAGGCCATAATTTTTAATTTATTATTTTTAATTAAATTTAATTTATAATTTTAATTTAATATATAATTTTAAATTAACAACACTAAAAAAATAATTTATAAATGTTCAAAATATTATTTTACCATTTTCCAATTGTTTACTAAGTAATAGCATGAGAGTAACATTTCACATATTAATCCGATAAGATATTAATCCCATGTAAATAATGATACCCCCTAGGATTATTTAGTCCCTCATACGAGCGATATGGAGTCCGGTCAAATTTCATGTTTGACGGACTAAAATTGCACCAAACAATGGGTATTCCCTCCAATAGATTCTCCCCCTAATCCCTTGAATAAAACGCACCCTCATTGTTTAGAAAATTTCAAAATTTTGTCTTTTGAAATTTCAAAAAGTACTCTCACACAAAAAACAAAAACAATATAAAATAGTAGGTTTTTTTGAAGTTATTATTAGAAAAAAAAAAAAAAAAACTATACATTACATGACAGTCCCACAATAAAGCTATCACTGATGTGTTTTCCTTCGTTGTGAGACTATGCTTTCCAAGAAGAGGTGAGTGGATTTCTTTTATTTATTTCTGTAAATCATAGGTCACAAAACTTGTAGCGGAATAAAATGTTTAGATCATACCTGATTCGATCTAAAACCTCATGAATAAATTACGTGCTTCCAGAATCTAATCAATCAATCCCAGCAGTGGGGTGATATTACAATGGTGAATATTACCCACACAAACCACAGTGCAAATGACTTGATCGTTGTTTCTTGGGAGAGAGTAAGTTTATGGGTTGAAACAAAACCTACGTTGTTTCTCTCTTGGTTACCCATAACCATATATCAGATATATATTATATTATTATTATTTATCCATATCAGTTAAAACTGATAATATCTATATCCTGAGTTGTTATCCTAAATAGATTTGAATTTAATTCAAAACCTATTTGGATAAGATCCAAATTATGTTCAAATGGTCATGCCACATGGGCGCCTATTACTAACAATTTCTTTAATTATTTTTTTTTGTTAAAAAAGTTTGAGGAGGAATGTAGCGGTTGTGTGCTTTGTTAGCCAAGTATCCCGTGCAAAAGCTTTAAAAGCAATCCCATGCAAAGTTTTAAAAGCGAAAGCTCTGATGTGTAGTATTTATCATTGAAACAATTATTTATGTAATGCTGCCAAAGGGAGGACATTCTTGATGAATGCAATTTATTAACTGGTGAATTATACTAACGGTTCTTATAGTTTTGACTTTATATGATTTTAATTTTTAACTTTTTAATTGTGATATATTTGACTTTGAATTTTAAATTTTGTTTTAAATCAGGACAATTGAAGATATCATTGCTCAATTTCAAGGGCAAAATAGTCAATTTGATAAAATATAAACGAATTTGACAAAATTAAATGTCAAAAATGTTTTTTTTAATTTTTAAAAATTATTTACCCACCAAAGATAAAGTTATGTAAAATTGATAAATCTTTTACACATTTATTTATTTATTTATTTTACCAAATTAATTTTTATTATGTGTTTAGATGATGATTATGTAATGGATGGTTGTTAGGATTTTAATATTTAATCGATATATTTAAGTATATGAAATATTTTTAGTTTTGATGTGGCAGTAGGCCCCACCATGAATGATTTGATGTTTTGGTCTTGGTGTTGTATTTTTTTTCTTTTTTTATTGAATGCCATGTCATTAATGGTCTTTTTAGAGCTCCAAAATTAGTGGTCTCTATCATTGTTGTTTTTGATTTAATGGATTGGTTTAATAATGATATTAAAATTGTCGCCCATATTTGACTTTTGAAAAAATAGAAACTAATTTAATGAAATAAAAACAACCACCCATTGCATGATTATCATCCAAACACATAATAAAAATTAATTTGATAAAATAAAAAATAAATAAATGTGTAAAAGATTTATCAATTTTACATAATTTTATCTTTAATAAGTAGAAATAATTTTTAAAAATTCAAAAATATCTTTTTGACATTTATTTTTGTCAAATTAGTTTATATTTTATCAAATTGGCTACTTTGCCTTTAAAATTGATTAATAGTATTTTTTAGTATCCTTATTTGGAACAAGATTCAAAATTCAAGGTCAAATGTGTCACAATTGAAAAGTCAGGGATTAAAGTGACACGATCCACAAACTATAGAGACTGTTAGTGTAATTTACCCTTTATTAAAGTTGTTTATAATTTTTTATTTTTTGAAATTTGTATTAAAGTATTTAGTGTATTTTCTGTTTATAGTTTATGAGGTATAAATAACTTAAAATAAATTTTAAAAAAAACAATTAATTAAAAGTAGGGATAAGAATATTTTTAATTTTTTAATTATCAATTTTAATTTGAGAAAAATTACACTGATGAAGAGCAGAAACCTTTTGGATAGGCCAAATAAGAAACAATAATGCTAGGTATCATGAAAATAATGTCATGAAAAGTTTTTATAAAGATTATCCTCCCTTAGGTTAGATTATAGTATTTGTAATGTTTTATTGTATGTTATGCATTCACCTTGAATTAGTTTCATGAAGTTTTTTATGATATTTATTTCATGACATATGGGCCATTCATCAAAATAAATGGTAGTATGCAAATTATAAAAAAAAAAAAGAGGGGCATTTACATACAAGTCCCATTTAGATAAAATTATTTGCTTACTTCGATTTCTCAGCTCATTTCTTAGTTCGACGCTTACTTCGATCTGTTCGGTGAGGTTGTTTTCTAGATGTCAGTGTGTTACGGTTCAAGCATATCCACCTCTCTCTCTCTCTCTCTCTCTATATATATATATATATGTATAATCGTTGATTTCTTGTTTAATTGTTGATTTCTCTCGGCTGCTACTGTCTCTACCACCACCGTCCCAAAATCATTGTCATTCGGCCACACTTGGTTCACCGTCGTATCTGCATTGGATTAGTGTAATTATGCCAATGCAGCTACTCCGACGGTGTTGCCAGAGTTGTCGGGGTTGATCTTAGGGCCGCCAAGCCAGGATCCGAGAGCGTTGTTGAGCTACGCTTTGCCTATTGACAATAAAGCTATAAGGAAGGTTCAAAAGCCACTTGAAGATATGACTTACAGTCTCAAGATTGCTGGACTCAAAGCACTTGATTCTGTAGAAAGAGTAAAAATTTGGTTTTGTTTGTGATGATAATGAATTAGATCATCAATGATGATGTAGAATTGTGTTTTTGTGATTTGTAGAATGTGAGGCAAGCCTGTTTTTGCAGAGAGAGAGGGAGAGTTTTTTAAAATCGAGAACCTTATCAGTTTATAATATTATCAATTTTAATCATGAAAAAATTGAAAAATTTCTCAAAATTGATAATTATAAATTTCTTAGAATATTCGCAGAATTATCTTTCTTTTCTATCCCATACTTTTCTCAGAAGCCAAACAGAAATTTTTTAATTTTGATAATTATATACTGAAATCATTCTCTGTTTGAAAATTGAGAATATTCTCATTTTTGAAATTGAGAACATTCTCAGTTTTGGGATTAAAGGGCAAAACGTCTTTTTTACCTATAAATAGGACTTATTGGCTCAAAAACTTTTTGACAGGACATAAGCTGCCACCAAATATGTAAACAGGACTTTTTGGTAATTAACTCAAAAAAGAAATTAAAAAAAGGGATAAATTGAAGAGAAAGTTGATATTAAATTAGCCTCTTTTTCTTTTTTCCACTTTTTTTCATTTTTTCTTCACAAATTCATATCTAAGCACAATTGCTAACCATTTGGAAGAACACTACAAATTTCTTCGGGTAGCGATAGATCAATTTTTCACATCGCTAATCATTTTTGTTAGTCAATCGGTTATCAGATATATGCAATGCATGTGCAATTATATATGTCTATCAATCGTTATCTGCTTGTGTACGTACTGTTGAATTTTTTTGAATGGTTGTTGGTATTTGTTTAATCATGGTGCAATCTCGTCTAAATTGGCTTGTGTTTTCTTTATTTCTTTCATAGTTTTGAATGATATCTTGAATCTTGTATTAGTAAATGGTTTGTAGATCGACCTGTTGGGTTTTTCTGAGATAAGATCTGCGATTAGAAGTGTAAAATAAATTGATAGAGAGAAATAGAGAGAGAATAAATTGTATGTATTATGATTGATATATGTTGTTATGTTTACAATTCCTATATATAGAAGAGAATGTGGTAGTAGGTGTAGGTGGTAGGTGGAGTGAAGTGGAGGTGGTAGGTGGAGTGGGTGGTAGTGGAGGTGGTAGGTGGAGTGGATGGTATGTTTACATTTTACAATTTACATTTTACATTAACAGCCCCCCTCAAACTCAAGGAGGATAGGTACTAGCCAACTTGAGTTTGGAGAGAGTAACAAAACAGAAAAATAAGCTGACAATTAAAAATGGGATAGGAGACACTGTATGGTTGTGTCAGACCGTTGTAGAAGACACGGTATGGTCGTGTCGAACCGTTGTATCAGACAGCTTACGGGGTCATGTCGGACCGGTTGTAGCAGACAGTTTACGGGGTCATGTCGGACCGGTGTAGCAGACAGTTTACGGGGTCATTAAGGAATCGGGATCTTGTAAGGGTGTTTGTGTGTTAACTTCTGGTGGAAAAATATGGACGTGGAGGTTGTGAAATCTGAGTTGGTGCCAGTTTCTGTGGAATCTGGGAGTGAAGAAAACAGCTCTTCGTTGCATGAGAAGGAAAATGGGACATTGAATCAGGAAACTGGGCTTAATGAACCCATAAAATTTGGTTCACATGGCATGGATGAGCCGGTTGATAGAGAAGGAAGCAACATCCCTGTGGCTGACTTCCCAAAGGATGTGGTTGATGAATGGCCTGAACCTAAGCAGATCCATTCTTTTTATTTGGTCAAGTATCGAACATATGAGGACCTAAAACTGAAAGCCAAAGTGGAGCTGGCCGATAAGGACCAGCAAAAGAAGAATCAAGCAAAGTTTCAGATTAGTGACAAATTCTGGGCTAAAAAGGTATGCTGAACTTTATTTTAAACTAATTTTGTTACATTTGTTACCCTTGAATGAAGCTCATAATAATCAAGCTGGTGATAGATGATAGAATGGTTTATTGGAGTGTGTTAATTGTATGCAATTTTTTTTGTTGGTTTTCAAAGAAAAATAGTATCTTTTCATTTTAATTCTATATATGCATGCATCTAGTGGAGATCAATGTAGGACAATCTTACACACACACACAAAGAGGCGCGCGATGCGCGTGGCTGCCTCGGCTATTTAACCATGACAGAGCCTGAGGCCGAGGCAGAAGCAAAAAAACTGCGAAATCCTCTGTAAAACTCTTCGTTGTGCTGAGAGAGAGAGGCTGTAACACTGTTGTGCTGAGAGAGAAACTCTGTAATACGCTGTAACACTCTGTTGCCCAGAAAAATGGCCTCGTCCTCGTCTTCCCGTGGACTGCTCACCCTCTTTCCCGACCTCAACGAGTCAACGAGAGAGAGAACTGGTGCGGTGGCACTGGAACCTCAACCAAACACCGCTGGGTATACTCCGTTGAACTTTCCGATGCGGTCTGTGGAGCAAAGAATGGCAGTGCTGTCGGATGTGGAGGCCAATCAGTATACTTTGAAGGTATGTGTGGAAAGTATGACGGCGGTCACAAACCTGTCGAACCGGCTGCAGAGTAGGACAAATGAGGTGCAGCAGTTAAACTCCCAACTGGCTCTGCTCCAACGCATGTATAAGGATGCGCGAGCAGAGATAAGTGTGCTAAAGGCGGAAAATAAGGAGCTGAAGCGGAAGGCTACCGTGATGTTCCGATTTGGAGGACCGCCAGATGCTGCAGTGGAGGAGTACGGGGGAGTGAACGTACTCGGCGGTGTGGGAAACACAGAGGCAGCACCGTCAAGGGCCGCCCAGGACGGAGGCAAGAAGAAAAGACCGGCGACAGAGTAGAGAAGAAAAATCCCACTGTGGATGTGGTTGTTTTGTTTGTTTTGTTGTGTGTGTGTTTTTTTTTTTTTTTTTTTTTTTTTTTTTTTTTATGGTCAAATGGTGGAACCTTTTTTTTTTTTTTTTTTTTTTTTTTGTTTTGTTTTTTTGTTTTTTTGTTTTTTTTGGTGTAAAATGGTGATCGGGGTTGATCCCGGCATGAAGAAAGGACAAGTTTGTGGAATGAAAAACGAGTTGGTTGTGAATGGATATATATATTTTTTTGTTTTTGGAATAAAAATAAAAGAAAATAATAAGAGAATGGAAAAAGGATGATGCTCACCAACGGAGTTGTAGAATATTGAAATATTGATAAAAAAAAGAAAGATAGAAAAAAATAAAATAAAATAAAAATAAAATAAAATAAAAGTTTGTGAAAAATCATTATATATATATATTGATGAATCAGTAGATATAGGATGAGTGAAGGATAATAGTGTGGGTAATATATTATAATAATAAAAGAGATATATGCTTTGTCCTCTGAATCTGTAGATATATGGTGAGTGGAGGATAGTAGTGTGGGTAGTATATTATAATAATAAGAAGATAGTGGAGACAAGCTTAAGGGCTAGTGTGGGTAGTATATTATAATAATAAGAAGATAGTGGAGACAAGCTTAAGGGCTATGCGGATTACATGGTGGATTGCACTAAGACGATGGTCCAATCACGAGAAAATGCAGTAGAGATGGGCCAGACTGAGTTCGAGATTGGTGAGTACATGGCTCGACTCACTGCTGATATAATATCGCGAACTGAGTTCGATTGTAGCTATGAGAAGGGCAAACAAATATTTCATTTGCTCACTGTTTGGCAACAACTTTGTGCTCAAGCTAGCCGCCACTTATGCCTTCTAATGGAGATAATACAGAGCCGGAGGGACGGTGTGGAGATCGGTCGAAGCAGTTCTTATGGAAATGATGTGCTCGGTATGTTGTCTGGTTCAATATAGCAATTGCATGAAGCCCGAACGGTCCTTCGCAGGTTTCATCGCCGCCGGCTGCGGCGACGGCGTTACACCGCAACGACGTTGCTTTGGATCTGCTTTACGCCGCCGCAGGGGAGGTCGCGAGGATGAGGATGATTGAAGAGGGTTCTAGGTGACCAGTGGACTATTGGGTCCACCTCGAAACCCAAGTCCCGTCTCTTTACCTCTCAAAAAAAAAAAACTTAACCCATTTACCTCAGATCTGGTGTTGATGTGGCTGATATCGGCGGCGACGCCGGGGGTTGCGGCGATATCATGGAGGGAGAGCTTGGAGACGAGTGGGTTCAGCTTCATCAACAGCGCAAGCGGCTGCCCGATGCCGCCGGCAGCTCCCAAGACGGCTACCTTACGCTCCGGAGCCGAGTCCGATGAGTAGAAACGACGTAGGAGATGAGTTGATGAGGCACCTGTTGTGCTTCGTCTCAGAGAGGATTGGATCGATCTCAACATTATTATTGTTGCTGCTTTCAGAGGTGGAGTGGCCGGTGGTGGAGCTGAAACCGGCGGAGCGGATACCACAGGAGGTGTGGCCGGAGATTGACCTCTAACGTCGGCGACGACAATGCAGATAAAGCTACAACATAGACGGACCTGCGATCCATATCCACGGCCTCACTGGTGTGAAGGTGTTGATTATTCCCTCAGAGAGACAAGAGTTCAATTCAGTTATGGAATTTGTGGCAGCGGAGTGAAGGTATGTGTAGAGGTCCGGCGGGCGGCCAAGGTGAGACTGCCGCCCGCCGGTGAAGCAGAATGGCTAGGTTGTTAACCTAGCTCTGATACCATGTAAAATAAATTGATAGATAGAAGTAGAGAGAGAATAAATTGTATGTATTATGATTGATATATGTTGTTATGTTTACAATTCCTATATATAGAAGAGAATGTGGTAGTAGGTGTAGGTGGTAGGTGGAGTGAAGTGGAGGTGGTAGGTGGAGTGGGTGGTAGTGGAGGTGGTAGGTGGAGTGGATGGTATGTTTACATTTTACAATTTACATTTTACATTAACAAGAAGAAAGATTAAAAAAATCTAGAGCTTCTTGGCCTGTTATGTTTCTTGATTTTGTTTGAAGACCATTGGCATAGATCCTGCTCGATCATTTGTTCGAGTGAAAAAATGGGTCCCAACAGTTTACAGTTGTTTAATTGTTGGTGGATTTTCAACCTGTTTTTGATTGATTGAATGTGTTTTTCTTTTCTTTGTTTTCTTGATTTGTATGTTTTTTGAGGAATCGGGATCTTGTAAGGGTATTTGTGTGTTAACTTCTGGTGGAAAAATATGGACGTGGAGGTTGTGAAATCTGAGTTGGTGCCAGTTTCTGTGGAATCTGGGAGTGAAGAAAACAACTCTTCGTTGCATGAGAAGGAAAATGGGACATTGAATCAGGAAACTGGGCTTAATGAACCCATAAAATTTGGTTCACATGGCATGGATGAGCCGGTTGATAGAGAAGGAAGCAACATCCCTATGGCTGACTTCCCAATGGATGTGGTTGATGAATGGCCTGAACCTAGGCAGATCCATTCTTTTTATTTGGTCAAGTATCGAACATATGAGGACCTAAAACTGAAAGCCAAAGTGGAGCTGGCCGATAAGGACCAGCAAAAGAAGAATCAAGCGAAGTATCAGATTAGTGACAAATTCTGGGCTAAAAAGGTATGCTGAACTTTGTTTTAAACTAATTTTGTTACAATTGTTATCCTTGAATGAAGCTCATAATAATCAAGCTGGTGATAGATGATAGAATGGTTTATTGGAGTGCGTCAATTGTATGCAATTTTTTTTGAATAGTATCTTTTCCTTTTCATTCTATATATGTATGCATCTAGTGGAGATCAATATAGGACAATCTTACACACACACACATATGTATATGCACGTAAACAGGTTAAGCATGGTTAACACATTCGAAGCTCAAGTGCTTTTTCCAATTCCATTTTGAATGACTAGCTATTTGTTAGGAAAAATATGTGATTCCCACAAGTAAATCAATCAATGGGAATAAAAACTAATGCGGAAAAATTAAATTAAAGGCAACACAAGAATTTTACGTGGTTCTCTCAATGTAAGATATGTCCACAGGATCGAAATCCGATTCCACTATCAACTAAATAATTTTCAAACGATTACAAATGAGACACGAATGGTCTCACAAACCACTCTTAGGTGAATTCCAAATAATCACAAATAAACAAAGAGGAAAGACCTCACCAAATAGATGAAACAAAATCTTCAGAACCAGAGTTGAAGAAGGCTCAAAATAATAACCCAAATCAGCTTTGAATCAAAGACTGTCACAACATCAAATCACACACAAGGAGACCCATTCAATTTGATCAAACCTGCTGCTCCTCCACACAAGACAAACTCACCGAATTGTTCATCAATTGAATTAAGCCACTGCTGTTTTCTTTAGAAAAAATACTTAATCAAATCTAATAAGCCTAACAGCCGCAACACTTTTTCTTCACCTCTTCCAAGGAACAAAACAACAATATATATATATATATAGTTGAATCTTGGACTTGTTTTATCAAAACCCTAGTTGTATCCAAATTGAATTTTTCTTTCCACAAATTAGATATAATATATTAAAATATATTATACCTAAATCGAGCTAAATTAAAATTATTTAACAAACCAATTGGGTCTCAAACTCCAATAAGGAGATATACCCTAACAATTCTCCCCCTATCGACTTAGGTGGAGAGATCAACCATACCCGCCAAAGTTCGACACTTCAAATGTTTATCCCTCGACAAAGTCTTAGTCAACATATCCAAAATATTATCATCCGTGTGAACCTTTTCGAGTTGTAACAATTTCGAATCTAACACATCACGAATCCAATGGTATCTCACATCAATGTGTTTCGATCTCGAATGAAAAATAGAATTTTTACTCAAGTGAATAGCACTTTGACTATCACAATAAATCACATACTTTTCTTGTTTCAAACCCAACTCTTGCAAAAATTTCTTCAACCATAACTCTTCTTTGCAAGCTTCCGTAATGGCAATAAATTCAGCTTCGGTAGTTGAGAGAGCAATACGTTTTTGTAATTTAGATTGCCATGCCACAGCTCCCCCTGCAAAAGTCATCAAATACCCCGAAGTAGATTTTCTAAAATCAATATCACCGGCCATGTCAGAATCTACGAAACCATCAAGCACCGGTTTACCATTCCTAAAATATGTTTCAAAGTCCCTCGAAGATACCTTAGAATCCATTTTACCGCTGTCCAATGTTCTTTACCCGGATTAGAGAGAAACCGACTCACCACACCAACGGCGTGAGCAATATCTGGCCTTGTACAAACCATGGCGTACATCAAAAAATCAATTGCTAAAGCATAAAGCACTTTCAACATCTCTTCCTTGTCTTTCTCAGGACATTGATTCTAACTAAGCTTGAAGTGACCTGCAAGTGGACAACCAACCGGCTTTGCTTCATTCATGTTGAACCTCTCAAGAACTTTCTCAATGTAGCTTTCTTGAGACAACCAAATCAATCCCTCTTTGCGATCACGAACAATTTTCATACCAAGTATTTGCTTTGCTGGTCCCAAATCTTTTATAGCAAAAGACATGCTCAACTCCAATTTCAACCTGTTAATCATGGTAGAATCTTAATCCACAATTAACATGTCATCAACATAAAGCAAAAAAATAATAAATTTTCCATCCGAGAAATTTTTCACAAACATACAATGGTTCGAAGTGGTTTTAGAAAAACCATTATTCATCATGAAAGAGTCAAATTTTTTGTACCATTGCCGCGGGGCTTGCTTGAGACCATACAAACTTTTCTTCAATTTGCAAACAAATTTCGCTTTCTCTTTTTCCACAAAACTTTCTGGTTGTTCCATGTAAATTTCTTCTTCAAGATTACCATGAAGAAATGTGGTTTTCACATCAAGTTGTTCAACTTCAAGGTTCATACTTGCAGCCATGCCAAGTACAACTCGAATAGAAGACATCTTCACAACCGGTCAGAAAATCTCATCAAAGTCAATACCTTTCTTTTGACCAAAGCCTTTCACAACAAGACGTGCCTTGTACCTCAGATTCTTGCCATCATTTTTCAATTTGAAGACCCACTTATTTTTCAACATTTTTCTCCCCTTAGGCAACTTCACTAAATCATAGGTGTGATTTTCAAGCAAGGAATTTATCTCATCTTCCATGGCCTTTTTCCAATCACTTTTCTTTGCATGCTCAATTGCTTCTTGGTAGCTCTCGGGCTCCCCTTGATCGGAAATCAACACAAATTCATTGGGAGGATACTTTCTTGAAGGTTGTTAGTCTCTTGTAGATTTCCTCAACTCAAGTTGTGGTGGCGGTTTTTGAGTTGGATGCTCTTCCTCAATTTCGGGCTCAACTTCATTTTGAATAGCATCATCATCTACATCTTTAAGAGGTGGCTGCACCTCTCCCCCATTTTCATCGTCAACTGAAAATGAAGGAGATGGATCCATGTCAATGAGATTACTAGTTTTTGGCTCCGGTTGATCACTTTTGCCAAAGTTTTTAATTGTTTGGTCTTCAAGAAACACAACACCACGGCTTCGAATGATTTTCTTGTCGACCGGATCCCACAATCTATACCCGAATTCATCACGCCCATAGCCAAGAAAAATGCATTGTCTTGACTTACTATCAAGCTTGGACCTCTCATCCTTTGGAATGTGAACAAAAGTTCAGCAACCAAACACTCTCAAGTGCTCATAAGACACATCTTTGCCGGTCCAAACTCTTTCAGGAACATCACCATTCAAAGGACAACAAGGAGACAAATTGATCACGTCAATAACTGTCTTCATTGCCTCACCCCAAAAGGATCTTGGAAATTTAGCTTGTGAAAGCAAACACCTTGTTCTTTTCACAATAGTACAGTTCATCCTCTCGGCAATGCCATTTTGTTGAGGAGTCTTTTTAATTGTCTTTTGGTGCCGAATACCTTGGCTGCGACAATACTCATCAAATGGCCCAATGTATTCACCACCATTATCTGATCGGATGTACTTCAATTTCTGCCATGTTTCTCTTTCAACCATGGCCTAAAAATTCTTAAATACTTCTAGAACTTGATCTTTAGTTTTTAGTAGAAAAGTCCAAACTTTCCTTGAATATTCATCGATGAAAGTAACAAAATAAAGTGCACCACTATGTGTTCTAACTTTTAAAAGACCACAAACATCCGAATGAATCAACTCTAAAACATTTTCTTTTCTAGAAGCAACATTTTTATGAAAAGAAACTCTATGTTGTTTACCCGCCAAACAATGAACACAAGTTTTAAGATGTGTACCTTTCAAACCGGGTAGAAGCTCTTTCTTGAACAAAACTTGTAGCCCCTTTTCACTCATATGGCCAAGCCGCTTATGCCACAATTCGGTAGAAGTATCATCTTGAAGTGCATTGACAACACTTTTACAAATTTTTCCATGTATCGAATAAAGTGTATGAGTCTTTTTGCACTTAGCCACCACCAAAGAACCCTTTGTGAGCTTCCATATTCCATCACCAAATTTGTTATTGAAGCCTTCATCATCTAGCTTCCCAGTAGAGATTAAATTAAGGCAAATGTCAGAAACATGCCTCACATCTTTAAGTAACAACTTGCAACCCAAATTTGTTTCCAAGCAAATATCATCCATGCTGATAATCCTGGACAAACCTTCATTATCCATTTGAACAGAACCATAATCTCCTTTGGTGTAGGTAGTGAAGAAATCAACTTGAGAAGTCACATAAAAAGAAGCACCAGAATCAATCACCCAATTACTCTCTTGGCCCACAAAATTGATACAATCATCTTCATAAATGACCATGAGATCATCGGTAGTAACTGACGTTGTGTCTTCTTGCTTTTTATCCACACTTTTATCACGTTTTTTCTCCGTGTTCTTGAGCTTTCGGCATTCTCGCTTTATGTGCCCTTTCTCATGGCAATAATAGCACTCAATGTCTTTCTTTGAAAAAGAACTATCTTTTGATTTGTCACGGCTTTGATCACGACCATGAGGAGTCTTACTTCTCCCTCTTGTTTTGCTTCGACCTCTCATAACAAATGCTTCCGAATGAGAGGAACCCGTTGATTTTCTTCTAGTTTCTTCATTCAACAAGCTACTAGTGACTTGGCCCATTGTAACAACTCCATCGGGCGTCGAATTACTAACGGTCACAACCAAAGTCTCTCAACTTTCGGGCAAGGAACTAAGTAGAATCAAAGCCTGTAACTCATCATTAAAAATAATTTTCATAGAAGCAAGTTGGTTAATAATACTTTTTATTTCATTCAAATGTTCTGGAATGGGGGTGCCATCTTTATATTTTAAATTAACCAACTTACGAAACATAAATGATTTATTTGTGGCTAATTTTCTATAATAAAGACTCTAATTTTTTCCATAAATCATGTGTTGAAGTTTTAGTAGCAACATGATGAAATACACTGTCATCGATCCATTGACGGATAACACCAACGGCTTTTCGATTAAGCCTATTCCATTCATAATCTTTCATACCCTCGGGTTTGCCAGAATCACCCTCAATGGGTCCATACAAATCTTTACAAAATAATAGGTCCTCCATTTTAGTTTTCCAAGTTACCCAATTGCTTCCATTGAAGCTAGACATACGACCCACATTCCCCTCCATTGATTTACACAAATAAATAGATGCAAATAAACTGTAAGCTCTGATACTAGTTGTTAGGAAAAATATGTGATTCCTACAAGTAAATCAATTAATGGGAATAAAAACTAATGCGTAAAAATTAAATCAAAAGCAACACAAAAATTTTACGTGGTTCCCTCAATATAAGATACGTCCACAGGATCGAAATCCGATTCCACTATCAACCAAATAGTTTCTAAACGATTGCAAATGGGATACAAATGGTCTCACAAACCACCCTTAGGTGAATTTCAAATAATCACAAATAAACAAAGAGGAAAGACCTCACCAAATAGATGAAACAAAATCTTCAGAACTAGAGTTGAAGAAGACCCAAAATAATAATCAAAATCAGCTTTGAATCAAAGATTGTTGCAACATCAAATCACGCACAAGGAGACCCACTCAATTTGATCAAACCTGCTGCTACTCCACACAAGGCAAACTCACCGAATTGTTCATCAAGGCAAACTCACCGAATTGTTCATCAATTGAATTAAGCCACTGCTGTTTTCTTTGGAAAAAATACTTAATCAAATCTAATAAGCCTAACAAGCTGCAACACTTTTTCTTCACCTCTTCCAAGGAACAAAACAACAATATATATATAGTTATCTTGGACTTGTTTTATCAAAACCCTAGTTGTATCCAAATTGAATTGACTTTCCACAAATTAAATATAATATATTAAAATATATTATACCTAAACCAAGCTAAATTAAAATTATTTAACAAACCAATTAGGTCTCAAACTCCAATAAGGAGATATACCCTAACAGTATTAAGAAATAAAAAATGACAAAATTGAACATTGTTCACTAAAAAGCTTGATCTTTTATTTGTACAATTAAAACAGCCATGAACTTACTATATGATTAATTGGAAACGGTAACAAATATTTATCTTCAATTAGTTGGCTTGGATCTTGCAGCTAGGTCTTTGCTAATTGGCTGTCTAATCACTTAACTTCTGAGTCTAATATTTTTCTTTCAGAAATACCAACATTAAAGTTGCTTTTGTGATGCGATATCTGTCGTCTGAGTATTGTTTTGTTCTATTATTTTATTAATTAATATTTCTTTATCAGAATTAGGAGTCAACATTTGATCAAAATAACGTGTGAGTTAATTGAATGAAGCCCTGGCCAACAATCATTCTTATATCTATGAAATGTTTGACTTTACTGCATTTATTTTCTGTCTTCTGTAGGCAGAGAAAAGTCGGTTGATTGACCTAATGAGGCATCTGAACGATGAGAATAGGCAGTACTGGAATATCGTGAATGGGAAGAGAAAAGAGATGGAACCTCTGCATGAGGCACTGGGCAAGTTGCGTAACACAAGCAGTGTCAATCGCGAGAAGGGTGTTGGTATATGTTCATCTGTGGAAGAGCTTAATTATCTTGTAAGCTTCTAATATTTAGCTTTTTGGACCGTTTGAACTCATTTGCAAGTTTGGTGCTGCAGGGACTCCTTGCCTTTCTTTTCTAATTTTCAGCTGAAAAATTACCATTACATGTTTAAAGCTGTGGTGTTTCGTTGTATTTGCTTTTATATCCTTCCTTGGTAATTGTTAAATGCAGATCAAGAGCTTGGAATACCGTATTCAACATGAAAGTATTCCACTTTCCGAGGAAAAGGAAATCCTTAAGGAAATTAAACAGCTTGAAGCGACAAGGGAAAAAGTAGTTGCTAATGCTGCTATGAGGGCAAAAATTCAGGACTCAATGGGTGAAAAAGATGTCATTCAGGACCAGGTTAAAGTAAGACGATTCTCTTTATTCATGTCATCCTACTCGCTTTACTCGCATATCTGCTATTGCTGATAGTGGCTGCATTGTAGCTTATGGGAGTTGATCTGGATGGAGTTAGAAAGGAACAGCAGGTAGTTAAGGTCAAGCTTAAGCAACTTAGTGACGACAAGGAGGTCTTAGAAAAAGAAATTAATTCTCTAGCCGATGAGCTGGATGCTGCAGCAGAGAAATATAAAACTGCTTATAAAATTTTTTCTGATTTGAATGCGGGGGTATGTTGGTTTATTTTCTAATACAACTTTTTGTCGTTTTCTTTGGTTTGGACTTAGAACTGCTTTATGGTTTATTTGTCAGTGTTTAATATTATTACAAATATTGATTTTGTTAAATTTGTGTCACTATCTTGTGGAATATCTGTTTGTTAATTTTTCTTAGTGTTGGGGTAGTGGGGATAGTTAAATTGTTTCTCGAGTAGTAAGTTGTTCAAACTTGACTTGAAATCTTAGTGAGTTTTGAAACATGTTGAAGCTTGTCTTGCTTATATAATGAGTCAATTTCAAACAGGTTTTTATCAAGCCGAATATGAGTTGAGCTGGAGTAGTTTGTTTTTATTTATTTATTTATTATTTTTTATAGTGCATATACGCTTGTTGAGCCAAATAGTAGGTTGTTCAAGCTTACCTCAAAAACTTAACAAGTTTTAAAATGTGTTCCCAGTTTACTAGCTTACATAACGAGCTGATCTCGAATGAGTTTTTGAGCCGAACATGAGTCAAGCTTGAGTACTTGGTTTGTTTTGTAGCCCTAATTGTTTCTTCAAAATAGTCAGGGATAAGGTTACCTCTTCAGTGATGCTTGTTTCTGAAATAACCAAGGATCCTTGGGCACTTTTGTGTTAGGAAATCTGCATTTGGTTGAGTAATCATCCTCACAATAAATAAGCTATATTGTAGTTTATCAAATGCAAGTGTTGATGTTGCGGCTGAGGCATTCTTAGTCAGCTATATGAAAGTTCTTATTTCTCTGTTCTCCTTTTATTTTATTTATTTGTTTCTTTTGGCCACTGGTATATGTATGTATAGGTATTTGCATGTATATGTTAATAAATATGTTCGATACAAATCAAGAGAATTTATTTTTCAAGTCTCCTAGGTGCGTGACTGAAGATGTTTTGTAATGGGAGTTGTTGCCCTACGTCCCATTACAGAACTCCATGCTGAGCTGTTGTGTAACTTCCTTATCATCATCAATGTCTTTTTGTCTTAAGTGAATGCCAAAAATCCAAAAAAAGAAAAATATTAACCATCCATTTAGTCAAGTTATGTTAACACCAATTGCAAATGCAGTACCTATGGACTATTGAACCTTCCCATGCATTCCTGGTTCAATTCCTTATGGGTAATTTAACTAAATTTGACTTGAATTGCTAGAATAATTTTTTTTCTTTTTGTCCAATTTTTTATGTCTAATTGATGCATATGACCACAGACCCATGTAAGATTTTGCAATTTGTAGAGGGATATACTTAATGATTTATCTGGATTTTGAAGATTATTAGCAGTCCATATATAAATCCTGGATACAAAATGAAGTTATTTTATTTTATTTTATTTTTTTACTATTAAGTTTCTCAAGCTTGTGGTGGAAAGAACCTATATGTTATTTTATTTTATTTTCATAATTTTTTCTCCTTCCCATAATATTTGAAGAGTATATTAGGTTCTTCAGAACTGATGAACTAATCTTTGCCAGAAACATGGAAAAGGAAGGTTCAAATTGGCAGTGAGGAAACAAAAGAAAAAAATATGATAAAAATTAGTGAGAAAACAAGTGATGAGTGGTATCCTAGTATGGTGTCCAGTATAAGAAGAAGAAGAAAAAAAAAGGGGCGTGAAAACTGAGAAAACAAGTGAAAAAAAAAAAGAAGAGAAAAATAAAAATATGATGGATGGTATCTTATTGGTCCCGTTTGGTAGAGCTGTGAGAAAGTGATAGCTTATAATTTAACAGCTTATGGCTTATAGCTGTGAACATAAGATGATTTTTGACTTATAAATTAAGCTTCTGCTCCCCTACTCAAAGAATAAGTTGATTTTTGACTTACAAAAAGCTATAAGCTGTATTGTTAAGTTGAACCAAACACATCAAAGGCCCTGTTTGGTACAGCTTAATTTCAGCTTATTTCAGCTTTCAGCTTAATTTAAGCTATTTTGATGTGTTTGGTTTAGCTTATAGCTTATAGCTTATAGCTTTGTGGAAGTCAGAAAACAGCTTATTCTTTGAGTGGGGCAGGAGATGCTTTAAAAATAAGCTGGAAATCAGCTTAAGCTGAAAGTTATAAGCTATAAGCTGTTTAGGCATAAGCTATAAGCACTTTTCCACAGCTCTACCAAACAGGGCCAAAATAGCTTAAATTAAAGCTGAAATAAGCTGAAAATAATCCCTACCAAATAGGGCCATTATGGTGTTTAGTAGCTTAATTTAGTCTGTGTGGAAAGTACTCATCTTGGAGTCAACTCTTTCCTAATTTTGTTTAACAAATTTTAAAAAATACGATAAACAGGCATGTGAGAAGGGACTGTAATAAAGATTAAAGACCATGAAATCCCAGAACAGTTGGATGAGTGATTACTTAGCTATGAAGCACCATACACTTCAACAAATGGGTATATACTTTTGGTTTTGGGGCTTATTGCTGGTTAAGATTATTTTTGCTAGGTATACCCATTTGTTGCTTCATCATATAGAAACAGTAGAAATGGAGATAAAGAAGAAAATTCTACTGTAATAATGTAATTGACTTCTTTACAATGCTTATGACATTAAAGACTCCATAACTGTAAGTTTCTCTGCATTCAACTGCAAGGAATTGTTAATCTTTATCTATTACATTCTTGTTGCCATCACACAACATATATTTTTTTAATTTGTTGTTTTCTGGAATTTATGAAGAACACCGAATTTGAAAATTAAGGAGATATTGCATTGATATTTGGAGAGAAGAATTGGGAACTAAAATTTTGCTTATAAGTTGATTTAAATAAGCAAAACAATAAAATGCAAGACTAGAACCAGAGTTTGTATTGATGGAAGTCATTTTGATAGAGAAACTCTTAACAGTAGGATCACTCCATGCACAATAGGACCACAGCTTGCATTGTTACATTGGTTGGTTGAATTGTAAAGAGTAAGGTTCATCTTTTTGTGCGGTACTTGAATGTTAATGATACGGTTTTAAATAGGGCAAAGTACATATACCCCCTCGAGATTTAGTAAAATTACAGATATCCCCCTGAGATTTGAGAAATTACAGATACTCCTGAAGGTTATATTTTCATAACAAATTAGGGAGCAATTTGTTATGAAAATATAAACCTCAGGGGGCAATTTTTTATGAAAATATAAACCTCAGGGGGGTATTTGTAATTTTCGAAACCTCAAGAGGTATCTGTAATTTAGCTAAATCTCGAGGGAGGTATATGTAATTTGCCCTTTTAAATATTGATCTTTATGTATTATATCGGTCAATATGTTTTGGGATTTTGTACTTCCAATGCTGCCATTTTTTACTGATATATGACCGTTTCGCTGATATTGATATGTATCATGTTATAGTTATTTAATTACTTTCTCTCTTTTATGATATTGCCTCCTTGTTCCCAGTTTGTTTCATTCTGCTTTGATTCTTGACAATTTAAGATGGGGAAGCATTTTTGTATTATATTTCAAGCTTGCTTTGGTAAAATGATTTATAATTCAACAAAATTATAAATGATCATATCTTTACTTAATATCTTCCTGTTTCTCAGAATGATTGCTTTTATCAAAATCGCACACTCTTGACCAAGGTCAAAGAACTTGCTGCGAGGAAGGATATTGAAGCCCTTAAAGAAATTGTCAATATGGAGGTTTATTGGACCCGAACTGTCCTTTATCGATAAGAGAGATATGAGATTTCTATTTTATGTTTTGGTTTCTTATCCTCTCTATCTTATACTGATTAGGTCGACAAATTTATGTCACTCTAGAACAATAAAAAGGCTTTTAGGGATGATTATGAGAGAAGAATTTTGGCATCATTGGACAATCGACAGTTGAGCAGGGATGGACGCATGAGGAACCCTGATGAGAAGCCATTGGTGGGCTGAAGATACAGATCTTGTAGAAATGTTAGATAATTATTGTGGCTCGTATTATAAAATTCTAAAACATTTAATAAGTCTACAAGAATATCAACAGAGGGCATGCATTAAAGAAAGAAATACTTACAATCACAGCCTTCAAAGCAGCTTAATTCTTTAATACTTAATTTATATATTGGACAAATGTTTGCAAGAGGAGAGAGAGAGTTTACAATAAAACTGGAATTTAAAACTTAAAGCACGCCACTAAAAAACTTTGCCTCAACAAGGGTGAGGTCCTTCCCTTTTATAATACAGAAAAGAAAATGATAAGATAAGGTTTGAGGGCAGGTGGCGTGTCGTAGATGGTTGGAGTCGATCTTCTTTATCCTTAAGCTGAGTCGATATTATTGTGATTCAGCATCCTTATCTTTAATCTGTCAGTAGTTGGCTGGTTGGCAGAAAATATCTACTTTTTGGAAAGTTTATGTACTGGTTTTTGTCTATTTATGCTGACAGTTCTGCTGGATGGAGACAAAGCCAATCAAGCTTTGCCTTTACCCTTTTTTTTTTCTTTGTCTATTTTGTCGGCAATCATATTGGTAAGTGAATCCCAAAAATCACCAAAATTGGGTTCATCATCTTGGTCAGGATCTTCATGATCTTGGCTATTGGTAACAGATTTCATGGAGATATCATCATTAGAAATAGTTTGGAGAAATTGTTCCTTCATGAAATCCATACTTTTAATAATTAATTCTGTTTTTGACAAATTAGGATATTTTTGCCGTAATTCTGTTTGGATCTGTAAAAGGAGATAAACCAAGAATGGTTATTAATGGGATTCTGGTAGTAAAAAGTGTGAGTAAAAGCATTGATATAGAACCAATAACTATACTGGGCTTCCCTGTTACAAATGTCAGAGTAGTATGTGGATGAATGCCCTAGGTGGTAATGGGCATTATGTATCTGATAGTAATTTAACTATACTGGATAGGACTGGTAGTTTTGGAGGGATCATGCAAAGTATGCTTGATCTCAGCAGCAGCAGTCTCAGTAAGTATCTGTTCGCAAACATATTTGTACTAGTCAAAATGAGGAGGAAATTGTGGCGTGGTAAGATATCGATGCTTGATTTCCTATGGATCGGACATCCATTGTTCATCGGCTAGTTCAATATAGAGGACTGTTTCCTTAGTAATACAGTTAGCGGTATACTGTTCTTCAGGCTTAAGGAGAACATCCTTAACCGTTTGGCTGGATTCAGCTTTACTGGT